TGGAAATTTTAAAAGCTTTAATCGTGTCACGGCATTAGGCGACGATATTATCAACTTTGGCTCCCCGCCACTTAGACTTTTATATATATATACCTGTATATTCAGGAACAATAGGGTGCTAATTGAACCGAGCAGGTTGATTCCGCTTGCCTGAATACACAGAACGGAATCAAAATATTAGCAAAGCACTTATTCCCCATGCTTTAAATTCAACCAGCACTTCTGTCATGTGTTTTATGTGTCATCTTTCAGTCGTCTATTTATAATCGTACAGTAAGTTTCTTTAATGTCAAGCCCATTGTAAACATAAATTATTGTTTGATAAGCGGTTCAGCATAACAACGGATGCTCATTGGGTCGATATAAACACACAAAGGGTTCGTTTATGGTTATCATTAAAGCAAAAAATAGCTCTTAAAGCAAAAGTGTGCCAATAAATTCGTTTACCTTGAATTAAATAAGTCCCTTGCCCCTCTTACATCACCGATACGCACTGTAGACAGGCACTTTGTTGTGGATTTTTTGGTGGGCAAACAAGCTTAATCTTTTTTCCCATTTTGTGGCTACTGATGGTTTTGTCTTTCGTCAATTTTCATGTGTTTGGCGTCAATTAAACGGCGGAAATGAGCAATTTTATGTTGGCCGACTTTGCCACTTGTTTTTTTTTATTTTTCGTATTGTGCCCCTATTCCGAGTCTGAGAAAAAAGCTTTTCATGTCTGCTTTGATGGCTGTCCACCCGTCCACAAAAGTAAACGCCAAAGCATCGGAAAGGCGATTAATTACTCGGCTCAACGATGTTAAATGCGCTTTTGACGCCCCCGCGGAAATTCTTCCGGTTCGTGTACAAAGGAAGGTAAAAGGGTTTAAGCGAAGACTTAATTTAATTGGGGGCAAACGAGAGCTGGGATTATCCCTCGCCTTTAGTTAAAGGGCTAACGGTAAAGCGGAAAACTTAATTAGGAAAATCACAAATTAGAAGTAGTGAGTATGGGTCCATTATTCTTTGAAAGGGGTTGCATCGTAAAATGGCAAATACATAGTTGTCAAAAAAATACAAAATTAACTAATGATGCAGTTTGTTAGAGAATAAAACCACATTTTTATAAGGTACGCCACATGAATTTGTGATTTTATGATTGGCCACGTAAGTCACGTATGTACTTGGCCAATTTCAAACAATTTTAGTTCGAGTTTTTCATGTGGCGAAGCCAGCCCCTCTTTGATTAGTTGTGTTTATTAATGCGGTAGTACAAAAAATTGAACTGAGAACCATTCAGTGTTAAATACTCGAATTGTTGTCTTTTAAAGGGAAGATCGAAGCATTCATACATATAATAAGACCTTTTATCTGGTAATTCGGAAGGTTAATCTACTCCTACAAGTATCGGACAGGTTTATAATCTGAAAGGGGGACGTCGATATCTATAGCGTCATTGCTGGGAAATGAGTAACTCGATACTCGAGATAAGGTCGCAGAAACGGTAAACGAACATGAAACAGCTGTTTCAGCTAGATAAGGGAATTTACCCCGATATTATATAAAAATGCTAAATCTGCCAAAATTGGGACACAAAACAAAAGTCGTAAAGGAAAGAAAGCGGTGCGATGACATAATAGAAGCTATTAAATTAGTGAATTAACAAGTGGAGGGGGGAATCAATATTTAAGGGGGAAGGTGAAGATGGGGTTGAAGTTGATTGCCAGAGAGGGGAGGGCGAAAGAGATTCGGAGAGCGCAAACTCCAGAACTGAGAGAGAGAGAGACAAAACTGACGTAATCGTTTGGAAGTAGAGAGAGCGGGAGAAAAACTCGAAGCAAACAAAATAATTTAATGAAATGAAATCATTCAAGGCAAACAACCCGAAAAAAACATCAATGAGAAAACAATTTAAACACTTGAGCGGCAACAAAAAATTACACTAACCTCCATTGCTGTTGTTTTTGTGGCTTTGTTTGGGCGTTTTTTCACCGTTAGCTGCCCTTTGTTGTTGTTGCACTGTGTTTGGATTTTTGACACGCACTAGAATTTGTGTGCCTTTGATTATTTGGGCGTGACACAGGAAAAACCGCAAAGAAACCACTTTTGTTGACAGAAACCCGCGTGTTTGGTAGTTTTCTTATATCGCGAACCGCACCAGCAACTCGGACACCGAATTTTTAGTTATTCCTAGTTAAAATCTAACTGAGCCGACGGAAACCTTTTTTTTAACTAAAGTTACCGTGATTCAACTTTTGAAAAACCCCAAGTGCCTAAAAAATACCGCCGGGAAAACCATCACTTGTACCTAAAGAAAACGGTTTGAAGCTCGGCTTTGGCGGACTTCAAACATTGTCAATGCAGCGGGTGTTTGGTTGATTGATTGAAGAGAGAGAAAAAGAGGAAAGCGGCATTGGGTTTCAGCATCGAAATTGTGGTTTTTAAAACAAAATGCAGAATAAATGTTTTAATAGAATTTTTAAAAAACTTTTAAGGTATTTTTTAGGTATATATGTACAGACAAGGAACTTGTTGTTGGTGCTTGTTAAGAGAGTGAGTTAAAAAGATAGTTTAAGAGAGGGAACGAAGAGAGTTTAAACGACCTGATCTTACAGTTTGAGAGTAACAATTGTTAAAAGCCCCATAGTTTTATGGTTACTGGAATTCGAAACTTTATTTTTCAACTACCATCGTTTTAAGAAAAAAGCAGCTTTGTTTTGTAAAAAATATAACCCAAATTGTTTGGGAAAAACAATATCAACAGCTATTAAACCTGGGTCGGAAAACCCAATACCCTCACCCCGCAGAAAACTCAATTACTCTTAAACCTAAATGACAAATTTTCCATACGGGTAATTTTATGGGCACATCATAAAATTAAAATTATCCAGAATGCACGCCATAAATCAAGTGGCCGGTCCCAAGAATACAGATGCGCCCATTTTCCGCCCTGCATATCATTTTCATTTCCATGCTCGTTTCATTTTATCAACTTTTCTTGTGTAATTTTTGAGCGAATTGCGTTAAATTAATTAGGGTTGTGATAAAGGGGGTGAAGGCGAAGGAAAAACTTTCGCGGCATTTCCATAAACAACAATAACAGGAGGTGCTGCATACTTTCGCAAAGGGAAATAGCGGCCTGTAGTGGCTTTGCTACACAGTAAAATATTTAATGTTCGTATTAGCTTAAACTTATTCCTGAATGTTAATCAGAAACTTCAGTTTAATATTCAGATACAAGAAGTAGTTTAATTTTATTTGTTTGGGTGCCTCCCGATTTTCAAGGCAAGGATTTCTACTGAATTCTACTCTACTTATTAACAACTTGCAGGTTTTCTTTTGCAGTGTAAGAGGTCAGGGGGCGTGGCAGCGAGGGCAAAACGTGATGCGCAGACAAATAGAAGACGTCATAAAAATGCCATTGTAAGTAGTTGAGCTTTCTTTTTTTGGCTTTTCGTTGGCATTGTGACAGGCGGTCTCTGCTTTTGTTGTTGCGCCTGCCAGTTGTTGTTGTTGTTGTTTGCAGGCTGTTATCCTTGTTGCTGCTGCTGCTGTGGCAAATCGACAAAAGGCACGCAAAGGAGGCAGAAACTCATTTCACTTGTGTCGAAAAGATAAATGCGAAGCGCTTAAAAAAGCAATTACCGCATAAATTGCGCTACAACGCGGTACGGCATATCCCCCTCGTACAGTGAACCCCCTACATCACTTCCCCTCTGCTTTCTGTGCACAGGATGCGGCGCATAAAACTTGCTACAAAAGACAGTCCTTCCTCGGCGGCTTTCTCACAAAACAAATGTTGGCAACACGCGAAAAACATGCAAAATGCATTGGGTGTGCGGGAGGGGAGGGGGAGGAGAAAGTCCTGATTGAGGGGGAGTCCGGCTTAATTGAAAAATCAATAGTGGGGCTGCCCCCGCAGCCGCTCGCTAAACTCCCGTAAATCAAGTTAAAAATCGCAGCAATCAAAGCACCTGAAGCGCAATAAAAACTCATTAAAACGAGCCCTCAAAACAGGAGAAATGCGGAGGAAATGCACAGAGAGAAATTGCTGATACCAACTCTGTGCTCTTAAAAAACAGAGGCACACTCTGGGAATCATACAGCCTGGATTAACTATTTTTGATTGATCTACGATATTTGTTAACCAATCTAAAATGACAAATTATTTTTTTTTTATAGGTTCCTATTTTCTCTCTGTGCATCCGATCATCCAGTGACGATTGGGGGCCAGGTGTTCCGTCCGGACCTTAGACTCCGGACTACGGTTTCAGCCACGGCCGAACTCCAAAATTGGATTTGAACAAATTACAACACATCGATTTCTCATTAGGGGAGGGGAAGCGAAAAGGAAACCGGGGAAAACCTGGCGAAAGGAGACGGGAAGCTGCGACATTTGATGGCGACAGAAATCACTTAAAGGGAAAATTTAATTGACTCGACTGCGGAAGTCAGCTGCCAATTTGTTGGCCATGCCCCACTGGCGCAGGAAATTTCGTCGACTTCCTGATTTAAATAATAACAAACTGTGCCGATGTCTGTTCAGCCAGCTTTTCCCCTTCCCTTCCCTTCCCTTCCCCCTCGGGCTTCCCTAAGTCCAAAGTCTTGCTTGTCACGCCAACTGACGGCCGGGAAACCCCCTTTCGGGCCCCCGCCCATGTTTTCGGCTCTGAGGGGGGAGGGGGGCCCAAGAACATGATTGGCGTCATCAGCGAAGGATCTGCGAAGAGATATCGGGGGTGTCAACGTTGATTTTGGTCAGCGTTTGCCTGCCGGCTTAGTTGAGTGTCAATATTTGCGCACCTCCTGTGCGTGGGCGGTGTTTTTGTGGGGGCGTGGCACTACAGGCAATGGCAAATTAAAATGTTTGCCTTATGATGCGGCTGGAAATATAAACATGACAGGGCGGAAGGCGGCGCAAACAAGAAGCCCAGGGGTTGTGGTTTTTGGGCGAAAAGTTGGGGCAGGCTTTTGTAACGTGTCAGATCGATAAAAATATTATAAACGATTAGGCCGGGAGAAGCTAGCAAAAAGAGGTTTGAGGGGAGTAATGCTACAACATTGCCATTTTCTCTAAACAAAAGAAACAAGTGGGATTCATAAAAGGGGAAAAAAAAACATTGAACGTTAAAACAAAAAGAAAAGGAAGCGTAAGTTAAATAAACAAACACAAGTAACTGAAAATAAGTTTATTTAGGCGACACAAAAATTTACCATTGAAGTGTACGATGTTCAATAATAATAGCTCTTTAAAACCCTTCATAAAAACCATAATTTATAAAATTGTGGTGATTTTGATAAGATCACAATTCAGTAAGCTCCACTGATTCTGAATCTGCAAGGATGCGCCAGGATGTGCAACGCCCTCTCCGCCGCCCACTCCACTTGTTTCTTGCTTTCCTGCCTGTTGACTGAGAACTCTTTGCATTTGTTGAACAACAATTTCCGGCACGAGCCGAAGAGCCGAATGGCCGAGCGAGGCGAGGCTCAACTGGTGAGGCTTCCACCGATTCGGGACGAAGGATAAAGGACGAACCTCGGCTGCTATAAGAAGCGGCTTCCGTCGGACGAAGCCCGGAGTCGCGTCAGCACCGTCGAACTGAAAACATCGCGACTTTGGTCGGCAAACCCGAAGCCAGAAAGCAGAAACGCAAACATCGAAATATCACGCATACGCCGCGTTGAACCGAAAAGAATTGCAAGTGAAGTGATACCGAAAAGAGTTTGCCGCCTTGGCTCGTTAGTCGAATTTTTTGTTGCCTTTTTGGGCAGTTTACGAGCGGCTCAGCATAAATTGGTAACGTGTATATCCTTTTTTTCGGTGGGGAGGGCTGATGGGAAGGATGCTCCTCATAAAAGTGCGTGAGCGCTGAGTATTTGCCCATGAATGGAATCCCGGGCAAGAACTCATGAATGAAGCTGGGAAACCGAGGATACATTTTGTGATTTATGCCGCGGGTTTGTCTGGCATTGTTGCTTTAATTATACGACTGCGAAAAGTTGCCGCTTTGATGTGGGCATTTATGGAAGCCAAGCACGCATAAATGCAAATGGAAACCCGCAGAAAATTGCAAACGTGTGTGTGCGTGTGTGAGTGTGAGTTGGCATAAGGATAACCCGAAACACCGCAGGACATTTAACACTTCATTGACTTTTGCGGCCCTTCTTGACTCACTGACTGACTGGCTGACTGGATGACTGGCTGACTGTCAACATTCCGGCGCAAAGTTTCATTTGCATTTCGTGTGCGCTGCCAGTGAAAATTAATGGTCGCAATGCCGTGGCAAGTTTTCCCTTTCGCTTTCCCCCTTTTCCCATTTGCGCCTTGCCAATTTGTTTGGCTTCGAACTCTTTAATAAGTTTGCCAGGCGCCGCAAACTTTTGCCAGCGGCACATTCCTGGCCCAACTCCTTTGACAACCTTTGACCCTTTTCCACACGCACACGTGTGCCAAAGCGCTGTGCGAGTGTGTGAGTGCGTGAGTGTGTGTGTGCGTTGCCATGGGTGTCTGATCCTTCGGCTTTGACATCTAATTTATGAAGCGCCCCCAAATCCGAGGCAGGGCCACATGTCCGCTCCAGCAACAGGCTGCAACTTCTCCCGGAGGACTCGTTTGTTAGGGGGTATCACGTAGTCGTTTGCCTTTATTTACTATCGCATTAGCCGACTGCGGCGAAAGTAATAGTGGTGTCAAATAAGTTTAATAGCGTGTGGCCATGGGGCAATAAAGCAACTTTTCCTGTCGACTCTCTGTCGGGCTTAATATAATTGCAAAAGGAATCAAATCAAGTTTACTTGCTAGAGAAACTATTAACAAAGTTGATCAACAGCCATGTAAATTTTTATTTGTGTTGCTACGTAATGTACTTCATCTTTTCTTTAATTAAAAAATAAATTTTTCTGCTTTTAAGCAAACAGAAGAATTATTCTGATTTAAATGTACGCTCCGTACTTTCTTATTGCTTTCACTTTTTCCCAGACTGAAATCTAAAAATAAAGAGCTTAGGGATAATGGCAGATCCCATTGGCCATTTGCTATTTGCCGTTTGCTATTTGCTACCAACTTCCCCGCCGGCGTTCGCCTTCCTTCCCCTTTCCGCTTCTATTTTTGTTGACCTTAAGTTAAGGGGAAAGGAGGCAGCGAGGGGGCGTGGCAGCTGCGTCGCATTCCTCAACTTGTTAGATTTGTTGCCCCCGCCGAAACTTTTTTAATGAGTTTCATAATCTTTGATGCGCTTCGCTTTGTTTTAGGCCCCCGCCCCTTTTGGCAAGTCGGCCTAATGATGTGCGAGCCGTGGAATGTGGCAGCGGCCTTTTGAAAATTGTTTTTCTCCTTCGCAGGACGGGGGATGGGATGGGACATGGGGCAGAAGTGCCGGGGTCGAGGGCTAGAGTTATTCAGCGAGTGCCGGGACGGCGATAAGCGTTTAATTGAAAGAGACCCCGGGTTTGCTGGGGCGGCAGAAGGGCTCCCCTCCGCGATGTCCGTTCCAGGTCGCCGGATGCCTGATGATTGCAGTTGGCAGTTGGCAGTTCGCAGTTCGCTGTTCGCAGTTCGCAGTTCGCACTTTAATCCCCGAATGCAGCTCGAAAACTCATGACCGCATACCTATTTTTTGAGCGGAAAGTTTAGTCGTTTAACATGGGTGTGCACTCGGAAAAAGTGTCGGAGTTAAAAAACTAAGCATATTCTTGTGGCAAAACCTTTTCCTCCCTCCGGTGTTCTGCAGGAAAACTTTCGGCGGAGAAAATAATTAATTTTAAAACATTCCCTATTGAGCCAATTAAGTAATTCGAAAACCCCAGATTAAATTCATACCACATACTTGAATTATTCCAGGGGGTTGTGGGTATTTTTGCAGAGCTTTACTGAAAAATGTTGGTTCGTTTTTTCCCAACTGCGATCCAATTTGGTTTAAATTATTCCCCCACTAATTGAAAGCGTTTCAAGTGGATTCGAGTGGAAGTTGAGCAGGCGAGAGAAGGCCTCCAAAGGGGCGTCAAAGGGTCAGGTTGAGTGGAATGCAATCCGAGCACACGTTGCTCATGTGGAAGCGCCGCCTCTGCCATTTAAATCTGGGAATCTAATTCCCTTTGTAGCCGTTCGCTTCCCGACTCAGCTCAAATTTAATTTGTTTAATTTCCCGGCCACGTACTGCCACTTCGAGCCTTTGTTGGCCAAAAGCAACATACGAGTAATACGAGTATTGGGCAACACGCAGAGCAAATGTGCAACAAAGGAGTGCGAGTGGTAGTGGGAGTGGGAAACATCAGCGGCATCTGGCACAAGAAATGCAATTGTGCAGCACATCCTTCTCTTTATCTCGTTCCCTGCCTGCTTTTCGACGGCCCACGCGGCGTATGCGTAATTTGTGTGCTGTTCCCTGTGTCGCAAAAGTCGCGGGTGGGAAATGCTCGGCGAGAACTTTTCGTGTTGCCAGAAGGCAGCTGGGGAAAAGGGGAAGATTGAGATTGAGTTCAGCGGGTAATTCTCCGGGGGAGGAAGACGCCGGGAAACCAGGCAACGGATTTTCAGTCGGACAGAGATAATCCTTTGTCCCGGCTGCTTTTCTTTCTCTCCGGCTTGTTTTCCTGTAGCCTTATGGCCATAATTTTGATAAATCGCATTGAATACGCTTCGCTTAATACTTTTACTTGTGCGAAATGGTTTTACGGTTGCCATTATCAATACTGCTGAGTTTCCAAGGAAACTGAATAGTCGGGGATGTGAAAAGAGTTTCTTTATACGGAATACCTTTTAGGTAGAACTCTTCCTCGAGGAAGGGTATCCAAAACATTCATTCACATAATGTTTCTATATTTCTGGGCTCTTTTTCTGGCTCCCACTATTGTTTCTTTTTCCCCAGACGTGCGTGATAGGGGGATATGAATAATCTGCGCGTTATTTCCATCTGCTCTTCACTCACGACTCCCCGTTCCGCCTTTCATTGCAGCTGGTCCCCACATAAACCCCCGCCCCCCGCCCCCGGTACCCGTTTCTCATTCGCACGGCCGTAATGAGGCAATGAGTCGTCGGGCAGCCGGAAAAGCAACAGCGGGAAACTCAGCCGAGGAGCCATGACATCTGGAGTCTGCCGGAGTCTGGAGCTTTGGCCTCTGCCCGAGTGAACACCCCCGTTCCAGCGATGCTGCGCGATATCTTCCTGTATTTAGTTCTAATCGTTTTATTTTGCTTCATTTTCATGGCGCAGTTAATCGTCAACGTTTACGCGTTCCAGCGCCAGCCGTCGCCTCAAAAAGCGGAGCGCAATGAAATTATATTTGTCTAGAGAGGAGACAAGCACCAGCCACCCACAAAGGCGCCCGAAAGACACAGAGAGTAATGGCGAATTTTCAGATTGAAAACGGATCTCACTAAAAGGTCTCATCTAAAGACAGAAATACGAATCATGGTATCGAAAATGTATCTCATAGAATACAAGGACAGTTCGCGGGAGAGGCGACTGCATCTTCCAAATCGCAAACCCCTCAATTATTATTTTATAACGTATTCCTCTCAGTAAGTCAACGTTTTTATGAACTGTAGGAACAGACTCCCCTTCTTTTTCAGTGCACTCTTGGCACAAAAAAGGAGGGCGGAAAATGAAGACGCTACAAAAGCAAAGGCTACAAGTCAAGTCGCGGTGGTTTCCATTTAATAAGAAAAGGAACTCAACTAGGTTCAACTCTCACTCGAGTGGGAAAAGTGGTGAGGAAAAGCCAGAGGAAAATGGTCTGTAAAGGGGGCAGGGGCGGCGGAGATCAGGGGGATCGCCGCAGGAGGAAGATAAACCCTCGAAGAACTGTTAAACTAGGTTGCGCGCTAATTAGTAACGGTAGTCTTGGGAGTGCACAATACGCACCACACACCACTACACACGAAACACACTGAAACACACACATATGCTGAGAAAAATATTCCCCTAACTATATAAAATAATTTTATTTATTTTAAATTGATTTCTTATATTCTTGAAAGATAAAAATCGCAATCGGAAATCCTTTTTTTGCATAACTTTATCGCCTTACTAAACTTACTTATTTTAGGGACCTGATACTGTAATGTTTTTTTTCCTGTGCGTTAACAAAGAAAGTTTTCCACACCGGCAAGTCTCCTGGGAAAAAGCAATGAAAAACCACTGTAAAATCCTCCGCGGCAGGAGCTGCAAAAAAATTCAGCGGAGTTTCCTCGCCGCGAAGGAAGAGCGGTAAAAGCACAAATTAATTTTATAATTTTTTGAATTTTTCCATCGAACTCTTTTGTTGTCATCCCGTTGTTTGTCTTTCATTACACTCTTTTCCCAGATTTTCACAGCAGCATACACAATAAATTCCCGTTCTGTTGTTAAAGTAATTGATTGAATGCGACACCAGAAATTTTCATTTAAAATCCTGATTGCCTATTTTCTGGGTGGGCTTTAAAGGGGCGTTTTAATTCTCCGACAATTGAAAAGTGCTGGAAGGACTTTGGGCTTTATTTTTTATCGATTTCTAGCCGCACTCGAGGCGGCTGTGTTTCAGCCTTTTTGGGTTGCTTTTTGTTCAATGGCTGTTTTTCTTTCTATATTTTTTGTTGCGCTCTCATATTTTTCGGTTGTTTTTCTTTTTGGCACGCCGCAGCGCGTTTTATTGTTTTCTTTTGAGCCTCAGCACTTGAGTCCTCGAGGGGCATACACACACTTGACCCCGTTTAAAAACGAGCATTGAAACTTTACAATGGGCCCCGGGAAAAGAGGCGGCCGAGGGGCGTGGCCGGGTATTTAACTCTAGCTGTCAGTGTGTCCAAATGGAAATTAAAGTTTCATCAAACGCTCAAAGCTCTCTTAGCGGATGTGGGCCAAGTTTGCGCAGAGTTTTCGAGGGGATTCGTAGAATTTAAGTCTAAATTTAAACTGGGAAGCCACAACAGACTCGCACACATAAATACACGCACACACACACACAGCCATATCGGAGGAGAATCAAAATGTATTAACCGAAAATATAAAGTTTTACAATTAAAGAACCGATCATAGAGGAACATTTTACGAGTACGGTTATATACTCCACTATACATACTTAGATATATGATATATACATTCGAACAATAATAGTCTTAGTCGTCAATCGATAAGTGCTAAGCAGCCCAAAAGATATTACACCATAAATTGTATCGAACTTGTAGTTAGATCTGAACAATGAAATCGAGAAGAAAATCGAAATAAATTAAATAAAACTAATAAATGTTCTTTGCAGAAAAGAAACAAACGAGTTTTATTTGGAAGAAGATTTTTAAAATGCCACATAAATGATTTAATTACTTATCTAAATGAATGGTTAAGTAATAAGTTAATTAGTAGAATGTATACCCCTGGGAAGTAATTTAAACTTGCTTAAGCACGAAACCTGGTGAAGTGAATACTGAATAATTAATGAAAGAAAACCGAAACTTGCAACTAATTTGCGATGCAGTCATCTTGCCGGAGCATCTGGGATTCCCTTTAAACTCTTTCAGCATCCATAATTGAGGTTAACCCACTTGGCCCCGCCTTAGCTTAACCCTCTGAGATCCTCCATTTTGGCGAATTGAGTGACCAGTCCATTAACGTTCCCATTTCCATTTCGCAGCCCCTTGAGGAAGTGTTAAATGGCGTTGGGCAATCGGCATGAGCGGAGATGAATACATTATCTCGGCCATTTAGCCGAAAGGAGCGGAGCAGAGGGAAATCGCTTGTCATGTCGCTGAGTCCTCGGACAAAACTTTTGGCTCCCGTCCAGATTGCAAAAAGAAAAGCTGCCGGCCAGGCGTTTCCGCTGGTGATCCCATCTGTTTTGTTTTCCCTGTATGCAACAAGCTTGTGCCACCCCTTTTTCACCAACCACCCCCACCCCCCCCACCTCCTCCTCACCCATGCATTTTCCTGGGGCCGCTGCATTTTTGCTGCCTTTCGCTCTTCCTTTTGGGGTTTGTTTTTATTGCATGCCAAGATGTCTGAGCTTTCAGAAGACCAACGGACATGATGGGCAACAAAAACAAAGACCAGAGGCGTTGCGAAAGGGGGAAGGGGAAAGGGGGAGTGGGGGATGGCCGGTTGAAATGCCACCGAAATGGATTTTTGTTATTGTTATTGTCGTTGCTCTCGTTGGCTGAATTTTATTGCATTACAATGAACTGCGCCTTGACCAAATTTGGTCAGCAAATGAAACGAAATGAATGAGAAATTGAACGTAAGAATGTACAGTGAAAACAAGGCGATACAATTTTCACAACTCAACAATAACAAATATATATTTTAAACAAATATTTTGAATCGTTAAACTGCTTAATGATTTTTTTTAATTTAAATCAAGAAATCAATAATTTAAAAACAAAAACAAAAAAATATAAATCAAGAACGTAAACAGTTTTGACATTTATAAAATCGGGAAAAATGTGAGCTCAACTTATGGCAATAAAATCGCTTAAGGCTGCCTTGACAGCCAATTTTTCACTTGCCATCAGCTGACAGCTGTCGAAGGTTGGGGAAACATTCGGAAGAGCGGCTATTTGGAGAAGCGACAACAACCCACAGTATTTATTTATTATTTATTTAATATTTATTTGTGTCGTTTGCCTTCCCACTTTGATCTGTGCAGCGACAAGTTCTTTGCCAAAGTCAAGTCAGCTGCGGAAAACGATGCGCGGAAGTCGAGGGGGAGGGGAAGGGGAAGTGGGTGGAACAGGGGAAAAGGAAAATGAGTCCTTGTTCCACCCAATTGACAAACGAAAATCAAAACTAATTAGACGCAAATTAATGAGCCATGCCACAACAGAATCACCAGAAAATCAGCAGCCATGGCGAGAAGAAAAGCAAATGTGATGAAAATGCGATGTGAAAATGTGAGAAGCTGACAAACAATTTGGCAGTGTGGACAGCTCTGCGGGCGGGGGATGGGGAGGGGTTCTCCCCACCTCCCCTCCCCTGACCTTTCAGCTGGGTGGACTATCAAAATAAATCAGCGAGCGAAAGAGAAGTCTTTATCGAGGCTCCCTTAAAGTGCAGAACCAAAGAGATATTTCTCCAGAGGAAAAGTTAAGGAGAGAATAAACACTCACACATGCAAACTAACGCACGCACACGCACACCGAAGCATGCACACTGTCAGGAAATTTAGAATGGACCACACGGCGTATGCGCAATTCGGTTTGGCACTGTGCCAACGCTCTATACTTGGAGATCAACGGAAAAAGTTGCTGATTTTTTGCCAGAAATTATTTATAACTGCTTGTTCATGCACAATCACAGACACACATTCGATTCGCAGCTAGATATACATATGTACCAGTATCTGTGTCTTATTTTCGAAACGAATCGCTCTTTTGCTCTTTTGCCCAGCTGCGTTGACTTGGCCAACAGAAATGTGTATAAGTTGGCTCCGAATATTTCCATCTGATCGGTCCATGGAATTAAGTTGGAGTAACGAACATCGCAGCGAGTGTATGAATGGACCAATGCTTTTTTGTACAAATGAATGAATACCAACCTTGTTTGTAATACTACAATTTGGGCGTTGTTATATTTAAACAAGAATTCTGCTTACCTGCAAAGAGAAGAAGAGAGAAATTAATTGATTATTTTTGATACGCTTTATATTATCTGTATACATATTGTATGCATAAACAAGGGAATAAATTGAATGTACAGGAATTGATATCTGCTAATATTATACTTTCAGAAAATGTTTGTATTCTATCGAAAAATAAAAATGTCTAGTTTGGAATTCAATAATTAAATAATTTATTCATTTGGTAAATGGCAATAAAACTATTTTCGGCTCAAATAAATGGTTGATAAAGTAAATTAATGGCCGTTAAAATTGTCTAGACAAATTTATGTTTGAACGAAATGAACATAAATAAATTCTAATAAGGAAAAGCTTTTCCTTTTTGCAGCAAACTCATGTAATAAGCAAATTACGCTCAATACAGCTTCTCTTTTTTGTATTAGTACCAGAAACAAAGCAAATTTTAAGAATCAATATATTTTCTGGCTAATGAAACGCTTTATTATCTGATTATATCGCCTATGAAAGTAGGCACCCACAAGGGCCAAAGCAGCTCAAAGTCAATTAGCCTCTTGACTGAACCCTAATGATCCCGAGAAGCCCCTTTGTGCCTCTTCTGACCAAGTTAATTGCGCAAAATGAGTGAAAAGCAGCTGCCACCACGCGCCGAGCCACTCGAAGAACACATAATTTGTTTTATTACATATATAAACATTTATGTATTAGAGTCGGCAAATAAAACAAAATTGCCGAGAGGGCTCCACATTATGGCTCTAGTTCGGATTCGTCCTGGCTCCTCCGAATTGTTTCACACGGAAGCAATCGTAAAGTGCTTAATTAATGCCCACCTACATGCGACAAGGTGCAAAAGTGGGGCAGTCCTGTGCGGAGTCGGGTTTCCCCGGGAAAATGCGACAGCAAAATGGCACAGGAGGAGCCGCATCACTTTTAATTAAAAGATAAAAATTCCCTGCCCACCAGTTTACGAGGCGAGTGGCTTGGGCTGGGGGGCAATATGCGCCTTTCGAGGTGACGCGTCAAAACGCATAAAACGAAGGACGAGAACTGTTTAAGAAATTAACACACACCCACTCAGAAGAGGAGTTTCCCGCCGAAGGAAGGGAGCGTGAAAATAAGGGAGCAGATGGAAAGTGAGTAATGAAAATTACAGGATAGTGTGGGAAACGCCAGCTTA